TACTCAAAAACCAGGATCTTTATCGAACAATAGTGCAAGGATACCATGATGCTAAAATAGCAGGACACTTCAAACAAGAAAAAACTTTAAAGAAAATCATTAGGGACTTCTATTGGGAAGTCCTGGCAGATTGGTAAATGATTACATACGGTCTTGTGACAATTGTCAGTATAACAAATCTCTACCTTATATAAAATATAATCTACTACAAGCACTCTCAATACCCAATGCAGTATCGGCATTAATTTCAGTAGACTTTATTATGCAATTACTATAAAGTCAAGAATGTACCCAGATTATAGTAGTAGTTGACCAGTTTACCAAAATGGCCCATGTCATCAGATTAGAAGAAACAGCTACTGCAATAGATATGACTACAACCTTTATAAAGGAAATATAGAAGCAACATGGCTTACCATCAGATATTGTCTCAGATATAAATTCAATGTTTGCTGGAGAATTCTGAAAATCTCTGTACAACATATTAGATATAAATAGGAGGATGTCTACAGCATACCATCTGCAGACGGACAGACAAACCAAGCGAACCAACCAAATGCTGGAAGGTCATGCACAATGTCTCATCAACTATGATCTGAACAACTGTTACTAATTGCTACCTCTAGCTGAATATGAGTACAATAACTCCGTAACCAATACACATCGAATGACCCCTTTCTACACAAACATTGGATTTCATCCATAGACTGAACGTATGAAGGAATTTGAGGCACAAAATTCAGGAGTAACACTTTATACAAATTGGATAAAAACAATCTATGAGCAAGAAAGGCAATCAGGTAAGCAGAGATGAGAAGCTATAGCCAAATACTACAATATAAAGGAAAAGCAATAACCGGATTTCAAAATTGATAATAAAGTAATATTAAATGCAAAAAGTATTTGTACACACTAGAAGTTAAAAAGGCTCAGTCTAAAATTCCATGGACTATTCATAATCTTAGAAAAGCAAGGAAATTGTACCAGCTAACTCAATATTTCAGATTAATGGAATATACATCAAGTATTCCACAGGTTCCTGTTAGAAGCTTACAGGAAGTCAGTAAGTACAAATCAGCGACAACCCCCTAGGAAGTCCTAGGATATGGAGGATGACTTACTATAGGAATTAGAAAAAATAATGAGTAGCAAGATACATTCTTGCACAATCAGAGTACGCAGTTACTACAAGGAGGTACGTGAAATATGGTACTTTGTCAAATAGCAAGGTTGTCCTGAAGATGAGAACACCTGGCAGCTTGTAATAGTAATAGATCACTTAAAGAAAATGGTAGAAGAATTTCACTGTAGTAATCCAGAAATGCTAAGTCAGGCTGAGGAAAGATAATGAGGAAAAGGGTTTTCCTACCGTGGCCAAGCAAACTTGGAAGGTTTTTCACCCTGTCTTCATCATGTTCTAAAGGAGTTAAGGTTTAAGGTTTAATAATTATTTATTTTATTTTATTTTTTAATTTGTTTAACAAGTACCCAAAAAGGCATTTGAGGCGATAGATTAAGAGGAAGGAGCTCATATTAGGAGTACCAGGATCCAATACCTAGGAACCACTCTAAATCGAATAACCACACTCAGAATCGGAATCTCTGGTCTCCAATACTCCCTCCAGCCCTATGATGGGGACTGCACATCATCATACATATCTATCTCAATTATGTCCTGTAACTATAATACCACATTCTTAGCTCAATTGAATTATTATGTGATTCCTCTCAATAGGTCACATGTTCAACTCCTGTTGTCATCAAAGTTATTTCTGGTATTGAGTTATTTTCTACCAATACTACTTGCAATTGCAAAACTCCCTGTATGACAACTGAAGACCTCCAGTTAAAGGGTTAAGATTCTACCATATAGAAGTGCTTCTCCTCTACACAGGGAAAGTCACTGGATAGAAATCTGTCAGTTGAATTAGGAAATAATGAGCTTCAAAGTCAGTAACCAACAAAGGTTACATACTCAATGTTACAGGGTTGCCGACAAAGAAGTTACCTGCCAATCTAGTAGAATGACTACCTACCAATTAATAGGAAGTTATCCACAAGATATCTGTTGGTTGGATCTGGAGTTATAAAGATTTAAAATCGGCTACCTTGGAAGCTTAAAGTTACAGCTATCTCTGCAGATATAACCCACTAATCAAACTGATTATTTTATTGATAAGCGAAGCATTTGAGGCCAACTCAGTTCAACTTGAGAACTAGGCCACATGTCTAATAACTCTAAAGATCAGATAATTACTATTGAGAACACCATAGTTCTTAATTAGCAAAATAGTAATTACTGAAGAAGCTGTGGTGATTTTCAGGGTTTTCAGATGTTCACATCTTCGAAGAATACCCAACGTTGCAAGTTATACCCAAAGAGGTATATAGTTTGTATAATAGATAGATGTAGTCTGTGAATACTCAGCCGCAAAATATAAATATTGTAGTGTCTCCTGAACTTTGAGATACTATGAAGCAAAGAATAAGAGACTATCACAATATAATATTGTTCTTATGATTCTATTCTACTTTATCTACTTTGCCTCACTCTTAGCAGTTATAAATAAAATACGTATATTTCAAGCCTTCCTAGACAATCTCCATCTACAGAAACAAATCTTGGTTTGTCTCCTCCTAACAGTTCTCTCTAGTTGCATTCTATTGCTTGCTATTATCTTCTGACTTTGATTACCATATCCAATAGCATCTTGAATCGTGGTTAGCACTCTAGCATCCTGTGTATCTCATGTGCTAGACATACAGAATTCGAGTATTTATTTTGCTAATATAGCTCTCTAACAATATATTGAGCACCTATCTTGTATCAATACTGGCAGAGATGCAGCCTAATATGCAGGTTATGTTTATCCTAATCAAGTGCTAAATTTGATACCAGATTCCTCAGGTAACCGTTTGGGCGCAGCACTTTATACTTTACAGTAATGGTCTACCCAATACCAACTTTTCAATAGTATATAGAATATCTATTTAGTAATAATATTGGTAAAGATACAGTCTATTATAAAAGTAGTTTTTATTGACAAGGTTTTGACTATGTGTTATCTTTGACACCAGATTTCTCAGGCATCCTTTGAGTGCAGTACATTATGATTTACCAAAATGACTTACCCAATACCAGCTTCCTAAAAGTGCAAGAAACATCTTCTCAAATTGAATCTTGACAGAGATATAGCCTATTATGACTATTAGACTCTGTATTACTTTTCTATTCTTGCTTAATTTTTTTAATCTGGTATCTGTAAAGATAAATCTTAAAGTACAAAATTACTACTTATTTTACAGTAATTTAGGCAGAAGTTATAATTTGTACTAGCTGCATCCTGTGAATTCTATATGTAAAGGGTAGCATTCTGACATTGATTATCATATCCAATTCTGACCTGTTATATCCTGTTAGTTCATGTTGCATCCTGTTGCATCTAGTTTCATCCAGACATTGATTTCCAAGTCTACTTGTATCGTTAATTGCATTTTACCTTCCCTCATCCTGTGTATCAAACTTACAGGATGTACAGGATGTAGGTATTTATTTTTACTGATATTCAGCTCCTCTTTCCCAACCAACTACCTCATCCTCTCCACAACCTCCAACCCTGTTGTTCCTACAGTAGAATCTACTCCACTAATTCCATCCTCCTACAACATATCACCCACCTTTATTCTCACCAACACCCCCTTACTATACACTTTCACTTACTCTAGGCTATCACACTCTGCCTTTCTCCTCTTACCCTTGACAACTTGGACAAAGGTCTTTTTTCCCTGACAGCAAATCCCTCAGCAGAGTTCCCTGTTCATCCAGTTGTGGTGACTGTAGGCTTAAAAGAGTTCTCTCAACAACTCTTCCCTTCTCCTTCTCCTTCAACTTTCCCTCCAACAGCACCACATACTCCTCCAACTGCTTAACATTCCTCCAGAGATGTTAAAATGCCTAACACAACTCCTTGCAAGACATCACATCAAAGTTGGCCTGTAGGTAGAAATCTGTCCTACTATAAGAATTGAAGCAACAAAAGAAGGCAAGGATCAGGATATAATTAGTCAGTAGCCCATACCATGGCTTGTGCAACAAGTAATAAAATCAAACACTGTGGTTATAATAGTCATGGAGCATGCACTACGAGTACTTGTATTTATGATACTGTACCTCTACTCGAGCATCAAAAGAAACGTGTCCCCTTGGCCTCCCAAATGAAACGTCAATTTTCAATACACATATATATCTAACTACCAGTAGCAACAAAGGGTGAGAAAAACTCAGCAGAACTTCTCTGACGGAGACTCCGACCCAAAGATTCACAGTCAAATGCCACACACTAGACTACTGGCACGGGGATTCTTCTATCATACGGTACTCGAGTCCAAATGTAATACCGGTAGTCTGGGCTCTGAAGGGATAGGTCAAAATCCACGCCAAGATAACCAAAATATTACCGTATCATATTCTTACCTTTTAAACTTAGTCGATATTCTTTCTTAAACGAAGGACCCCCAATATAGCACATACTGTTAGTGTACCGTAGTGTGCATAATTATATACACATGCGAAGCCTTCGCGCTATAGTAAAACAAAATTATCTATTTCTAGGCCATTTCTTCTCGAATCTCTTCTCAGAGTCCCATCATCAACGCAGGCACACACAGGCTTCACTGTTTTCAACGATATATTTCCTCGCAGGTCTTTTGTATCGCTGAAGCTTTGCTTGAGGAAAAAAACATGCCGGTAGATCAGCGCAGAAAATGTTCACCGGAGGCTCACTATACCGTAGCATACAGTACTACCGCTAAACGGACCGCCCCCTCCCTAGTGTGGACTCAGAGGAGCACTCAACTCTACTTAGTACTGGTACTCGTACTAGTCTACTTGTGGAGAAGCCAATCCCAACACAGGCATCACATCATACCAAGCATTTAAATACTGTACCGTATCGTACCAGTAGGAGCATCCCTCCTTTTCCCCCTTCCTTCCAAGACTCCGAGCTTTTCACCTCCTCAAATCTCCCACCCCCGCCTTGGCTTGGCGATAACAAACCACCAGCCAGAGCCAAGAAGACACTACGGTAAATTTACTCGTAGCGTGAAGTGGTCATGTCTAATCACGCGGCAAGAATGTCTGGGGCCTGGCTCGGTGGAGACGCTAGGGTGGATAGGGTGCTCGAGTTGGTGGGGGGGACGGTGGTTGGGGGGGGGGAGGGTAAGCGTGATAAGCACTAGTATGGTGTTTGGGCACTTGTGCTTGTGCGGAGTGGGATGGAGTGGAAGGAAGGAATGGGCGTGTGTACAGTACGGGTACTCGAGTACCGGTATGCGGTTATCCGGGTTGGAATTACAAATTGTGCAGTAAGATAAAGGTCGAGCCCTGTTCTTTCGCACCGGCAGTCCAACGCCGGTATGATACCACGATAGTCCATCCCAGGAGATAATTTACCGGCCTTGCCCCCTGTTGATACTCTACCTGCCTGTGAAATACCTATTGTGCTCGTGCTACCTAAATTACCTACGATATCAGATGTTGTGATGGAGCGGCCTCAACCAACATACTTCCTCCTTTCATGCTTGGAACGAGATCTAATTTACAATAGCTCCGCATTTCAGCGCATCCAACCCCTCCCTTTCTCAAATATCCAGAATCTTCGCACCACCGATATTGTAATTTGGAAAGCAGCTAACCCACAGCAGGTCAGGAACCCAATCATCCCCCCTGAGCACGCACGTCTCATCAAGAGCCTAAATCCATAGTATACCGGTACTGTGCAGAAAGGGAAGAGAGATCAGCTGATTATATACTCGTCGTTGGCGAGATGTACTGTACAGTACCGTACCACAGGCTCTGGTGCGATAACACGTACTGTACGACATTGGGAGGCGGCCGATAATCGCTATTTTAGACAGTATTGAGCAGTAAGGATGTATTCTAAGCTTCCTACGCATCGATTGAAGTGGTAAGGAGGGTACGGTAACATGGTGTGAGCATACCGGTACCAGTGCCCCTCGAAAGTTGTACCGGGAGACCCCCATTTCTACCTTTGACTTCCCACCGGACCTAATTGGTCCCGGACTCTTATCATTGGGAGGTTTGTAAAATAGGTCTAGTCCATGAGTGTTCTGTCAACGTGAGTCTTTGGCGATTGGAATGCTGGATTGAATATTAGTGCTTCGTGTTCGCTAGGGGAGCGATGGGTTGAGTTTCGTGATCCTGTTGGGGTGGTGATGCATTAAGTAAGTGGTTGGAGATTTCCGGGGGGAATAGATATTACCTACGGTCGCTGCGGAGGTTATTGTAAAATAGGTTTGTATAGACCCACGAAGTTTCTGATGATATTATCAACACCATATTCCGGGACCTGTTATGGAGCATGCACCACCGAGGCCCCGGGGGAAAATCAACCAAATGCCTACACACAAGGATTGTGTATAAGATCTCGTGTGCGTTGATGTTCGCCGAGTGCGCGCTGCATAGGAGGCACGAGGAGGGGGGTTTCTTGTCTAATTGGTGAGGAAGTGGATGGGATGGTACAATTTGGTAAACGGGCTTTGCATTCTCTGATCCTTACAAACATCCCCGATTACAAACACCCCCGAGTGCTCGGGATGCCGAAGAGCTCGCAGTGCTACGATACACTATGATGCGTCGTAAAGCCGCATGCTTCTCCGGAGGAGTAGCTATGGAGAGTTCCATGGTTATTTACAAAGTATTAGTACGACACAGTACCGTGTGGTGTTTTGGATTCCTAACCGACACATTGCCAGGCGAGTACCTAGACTACACAACAGAGGCATCATGAAGACAACAGGGAGGCGGTTCAATGTTTTCGATACACCAACAACAAATGATACAGCTATTACTGGTAGTATAGATACTTTTCGACCGCGAAATCGATGCCCAAGCTGCCCCTCTTTGTGAAGAAGCACCCAAATACCGGGATGTTGTGCCGAGCGCTTCCTTTCCGAGCCCCGTGGCGTAAGGGCAACAGTACTGTACTGTACTTGTACTTTACACCAAAGGGGTACGAGTACCAATGGCGTTGGGCTCACATTGGCTGACGCGTGCTGGGAAGCTACGAGCACGAGTACAGTACGAGTACGGATGAGGAAGGAGTGCGAAGGATTAACCTACCATACAGTAATAGTAGCACAGAAGGTGAGTACCAGGGGTTAAACAAGGCGTGCTACCGTATTTGTATGCTCGAGTAGGACTGCAGAGCAGCACGTCCGGCACCGTAAGCACCTCGCACCCACCGAGCTGCCATGCCTGATGCAGGGAGGTTCGAAGTTCTCGCTACCGCAAAATCCCAAATAATTGAACCGTGTTCGATGTCGCTGGGGTACCGTACCTGTAGCTTAAGAACAAAAATCATGCGGGCTCGGTACCCCCTCCTATGGTATTGCTCCAGTGTTGCTCCCCTGCAAGCGGGCATAGGGCCCTACAATATCGCCAGTTTTCTTTTGTATTCGTAATTTGGCACCAGTTTTTTCTGGTTGGGGGTATACTCGTACTACGATACCGGTGTTTCTGTTGTTGCGCCGTTAAAGGGGGTGAAGAAGTACGATAGCTGCGATTAAGATGGGGTTTGGTTACCCGGATCACACTTGCAAAACAAGCCTAACCTAGCATTCGTGGCAGGTGGTGCAGTCCACTATACACACACACCCACCCTCCACGCGCTGTCACTCGAAAGGGACCCCCTCCTGTCCTTCCTTCCTTCCCGCTTGGCTCACCCTGCTTACCGGTTCCACACTCGTCGTACAACTCGTCGTACAAGTACCCTGCCTTGCTTGATTTATTATCCTCCTTCTTCCCCACCAGACTGACAACTTCAACGTCGCGTAACTTTCGCCTTCCATCTCATACCTGTACAGTACCGAGATACTCGTACTATTACTGTACTCGTACTTTGGCCTTGACCCCCCCAAACGGCTCGGGAGGACTTTTTCATAACGGTTAGGTGGTGGATTTGACTTCACTTCACATACTGCACCGAAACCACATTGCGATATGCGCTTTGGCCTCACGGTATGATCCGATGAAGGGGGGGGTGGTGGGTGTGGTTGTGTTGCGACATCGAGAACTTGGGATTGGATTGGCTACGGAAGGGGCAGGCTGCTGGTCGGCGGGCCGGGTTACCGAGATTTGGGTTCTAGCTACGGATAGGTTGTACCTTTTGGTCATTCATTCAATCGTGGGAAGAGTGATGCCAGGGGGTTCAGTTAAATTCCCTGCTGCGGATAAGGTACGACTGCCGGTATTTGTGCTTGTACTCGTACTCGAGGATGGGGATACCGTACTCGGGTACTGTACATGATTGAGGTGAGAGGGTGTGTGTGTATGTTTTGCGCGGGCGGCTGCTGTTGAGACATGTCAGATCATCTGCACTCTATGCTTTACTGTACTGGTACTTGGGAAGCCCGAGTGCAAAATGGCATAACCCTAGCTAGTCTGGGCGGAAGGGCGTTTGGTATCATACCGGTACTGTGCCACGATTTGCAATAGCTAGCAACGCGCTCGAAGATTGGCTGGGTTTAGCACTGTACGAGTGTTGATGGGTAAAGTGATCTCTCGTGATTGATGAATCGCCGCCTACGGTAGTTTGCTTGGGCTTTTTCCATTGAAAGGGAGGAGGCTAAGAAGCACAGAGGGGATAGGCAAAAGAAATAAGGGGAAAAAGAAAGGAGAAACTGGAGGGCGGCGCTGGAGGGTGGTATAATTTTCCATTTCTAATTTTTGGCACTCACCTAGTGTCTCTCTCCCAGCTGTCACGCCCTCCTTTCTCCCCTTTCTTCCTGGGTCTACTGTAGCAATTCTAAAATGGAGGTTTAGATGGTTTTTCTTTACACAGGACAATTGTATTCTTATTTTGTTTGCACTCGACTTTCTACTGTACGGTAGGCTTGAGCGCCGCTATCCTTGGGTTGGCTTTTGTGCCATGTCTTGCCTGGCTCGCTCGCCCTTCAATCTTCCTTCTTATCCGTTTTTCTTTTTTTCTTTTTCCCTTTTCCTGGATTTCTTTCTTCTTCCCTCCCTTACTTTCTTTCTTCTCTCCTTCTTCCGCTTCCTCCTCTTCCCTCTGTTCCCCTTAACCAACATCAACAACCTTTTTTTCCCTTTCTCCATACTTCTTGCACTCTTTTTTTGGGGGTTTTTCTCATCACTCTTGTTCACTCTTTTACAAGAAGATAGGAACACGTAGTTTCCATAGCGGATAGAAGGAGGTCCATACACTATTATCTAATTTATAGTCATTCTTTTTGCCACGTCTAGTCGCTTTGGTCGTCGAATTGATCATCATAGCCTTTGTTGTGTGGTGAACCTCCCATCCCCTCATGTCACTTTTGGTCGAAGTCTTGCGCCTTAAGCTTTGATAAACCTGACCCCCCGTCTCCCCCTTTCGCCTGTGTCCGAGTGATCGAGGGGTCTTCTTTGCACTAATCTCGCATTCCTCTCCATATACCCCTTCTTTCCTTTCTTTCCCCTCCTTCACCTCCACCCCTTGCAAGGGCCCTATCCTTTCGTTATCACCACTTGGTCTCAACCACTCTCGTTTTTCATTCCTTTTCTAATTCTTTGATTAAGGGTCTTAATTTTAGATTATTATTTTTTTGGAACATTCCAAACTTCTTTCTTTAAAGAGAAAATACGGCAAATCAATTTCTCGCCGAGGACGAGCATCCGACAACATGGTTAGACTTTTGGACACCGCTCTTGTCGCCGCAGCCGTGTTGGGAACTGCCTCATATGCTCAGAAGATTGTGGCAGATTGTGGCGTTGGGCTGGGAAATTGTCCCAGCAACAAGCCTTGTTGCTCGCGTATGCTTTTCCTTCCCCCCCTCCAGTTTACCATTGGAAACCCTTTTGTTTTTATTTTATTTTTATTTTTAAAGCTAACACTTTCGCTTATCACAGAATATGGCGTTTGCGGTGTTGGGGCTTACTGCCTCGGGGGTTGCGACCCTAAACACTCCAATTCTCTCGAATCTTGCGTTCCTGCTCCTATTTGCAAGGACATTGATAGCACATTCCCCAATCTCGACAGAATCGTTGACAAGACAAAGTACCTTGGTGATTCTAGCAAGGCCGATTGGGTCTCTGATGGTGAGCCAGCTATCAAGGATGGTAACCTTCTCATCACCATGGCGCCAGGCACCGTCGGCACCGTGATAGCTAGCACAAACTATGTCTGGTATTTCAAAATTTTCATTCTTAAACAAAGGACCCCCACCCTCCGGGTATACGTACCCTAACGGCATTATAGGTATGGGAAGATCTCGGCAACATTGAAGACCAGTTATGGCAAGGGTGTTGTTTCTGCATTCATTCTGTTGAGTGACATGAAGGATGAGGTCGATTACGAGTGGGTCGGCGTTGACTTGCATACCACCCAGACCAATTGGTATTTCCAGGGTATCCCCAATTGTAAGATCCCAAACGGTTCCCTGTATTTTTACTGCATTTGACATTAGTTGCCGATTGGCTAACACATCCCGCTTAAGACACCCATGGTAAAAACATTTCTCTGGATAAGGACTCTTACAAAGATTGGGTCACCTACGAGCTTGATTGGAAGCCCGACTCCATCACCTGGTCCATCGACGGTCAAGTTGGTCGCGTGCTCAAGAAATCTGACACCTGGAACGAGACAGCCAAGGGATATGATTTCCCATCGACACCATCTCGCGTGCAGCTCTCTCTCTGGCCTGGTGGCCTCCCCACCAACGCCAAGGGAACGATCGACTGGGCCGGTGGTGAGATTGACTGGAAAGCGGGCGATGCTAGAGATGTTGGATACTACTATGTTACCTTCAAAGAGGTCAAGATCCAGTGCTACGACCCCCCAAGTGGTGCTAAGAAGCAAGGCTCCGGATCCAAGTCCTATATCTATGACGATCGCGCGGGTTTCGAGTCCAACGTTGTTATGACCGACAAGGGTACCGTTCTCAAGTCCTTCCTTGGAACTGGAACCAACATGACCGTCGAACCCGCCAAAACCAGCTCCAAAGGGTCCTCCGCAACCGGAAACTCTTCACCGTCATCTTCTGATGTTGAGACTATCCCTGGTCTCACTGGTGCGGGTACAGGTGTCAACGGTCAACGCGGCGACGGTTCCGGTTCAGGCTCTGGTGGCTCCAGCGCTTCAAGCGGATCCGGAGACGTCAGTGGTGGAAGCGGGAACGGATTTTCTCAGGGTAACACTCAGTCTAGCAACCCGAGTGAGGCTACTGGGCAGAAGGTCATCAAGGGCAGCATGCTCGCGGTAGTGGTTGCCGTCGTCGCTGTCATCGTCTTGTAAAAAAAGGAAACGAAATGAAATCAAAGAGAATTTCCCATTGCTCTGTTTTTCCTTTTTGTACTTTTATCTTCTTGCGTCTACATGATCGGCCAGCTAGCTAACTGAAAATGAACTACGCGACGGGTCTCCTTGGGTTTGTGTGTTTTTAACTTGTCTCCGTATCGGGTGAATGTGTGTTTTTTTATCTTTTCCTGCTTGCTAGGCCTTGCGCCTTGTTTTACCTTGGTGGGGTGTAGGGATGGGAGGGGAGGGTTGTGGCATTGGTGTATGAATATATATCCACCGTTCCCTATTATAATTATGAGCTTTTTTTGTGGTCCTTTTTTCGTCATTTCTTCTCTCTAGCAAAAACAAAAATATTACTTAACTGTAGTCGGTAGGATATCTTTCCTTTCCTTTTTTGTTTCTTTTTTTTCTTAACTCTTCAATGTCTATTTTTATTTTATTAGTATGTATATGTGTGTGTCCTTGTGGTGTGCCTGTTGACGCGATTGTAGGTAGGGTGGAGGTGATAATGTGAACTGCGTTTTGCAATTTTGTGAAGTGAGCGAGAGCGATCGTGCATGCTTGTGGAAATGGCAAAGCACTTGCTTGGGACATCATACACGTGGGAAACACCAGACCCAATGAATACTGTACCTTCCAGCCCTTGTGCTGGAATATGCACCCACCACCATATCACTCACTCATCCCATCCATCCATTGTGCCTTCCCAATAATATTATCATATCGCCATTCATTGGCCATTATCCAACCCACCACCCACCTCCCCCATCACAACCCGTGAAGCCCAGCCCTCAACGAGTGAGAACGTATACGACTGGGTATTCACGATTAATGTTGGAATTTGTGCGCAAGCGTGGTCACCGAGCTGTTATCTACTCTGGCGTTTGTCCCGCTCTCTTAGATCGTCTCTCTTTTATTCCCTTTCTCCTTTTATTCCATCTTGGCGACATCTCCCGTCTAATGACCATCAACCGCATCTTCTCATTCTCCACCCTCTTCTCCCTACGATTAACCTATCCCCCGGTCATTTTATCTTGGCCGGAGCTCTAGGAAAGTAGGTAAACATTACCGCCAAAATTGCCTTGCTTTCTTTCTTTTTTTCTTTCTTTCATGTTGTGGATAACTCACTCTCTCGAATAATGTCTAAAACTAGGGGGTTTTGGAAGCTGGCAAGCTTGCTCGTATGCATAATTGGAAAGAAATTAACGAGTCGTTATTTGAAGGAAATTACTTTGCCTTTTTCCTGGATTACTGACTAGCGATCGGGGATCCGAGGATTGCAGTATGATATGATACCTGCATGTTTGTGTGGGTTGGGGGAGCTTTCCATCCAGATAGACTGGTATATTCACGCATTCTCACTCGCCTGTTGTCTAGGGTTTGGTGTTTATCCGGTGTGAAGGCTATCATAGGTTCTTTTTCCGCAGGTTATTGTTGGACTGCTATTGGCTTTTCTCAACCACCGGTATTCTCCATTCTTCTCAAATTGGCTACTAGTGTCTCATTGCGGGGCACAATGGTTCTTTGGGGGGGGGTATTGCGAATCGGACGAGGACTGCGGGTAGTACAAACAGCGCCTCTGTTTCATTTATTCTCTATATGGACAACGGCCACCCTCCGGTTTCTGCTCCCTATTTTCTTGTTCGCTGGTGCACTCGATTACCTGACATTCTGCCGTACCCCGCAAACCGTTGTACCCGGCGGCGCGATACTAGAATTTGAGTGCCTTGTGCTCGGGTATGGAGTACTCGAGTATGGTAGTTTGTGATGAGATTGATAGAGTACAAGGACTCCAAGATCGGTCACCGAGGACATACCTGCGCCGTGCACCTATGTCTTCTGCCATCCACACCCTTGTTTGTCTCGGCACTAACCTCCATATCTAAGTACCCGAAGTACCCGAATAGTTATGGAAGCCGCTTTCTTACTTTGTGTCATCACTTGTTTTTTCTTTAATTTACGGTAGTTTTTCTTTTTTCCCCTGTAACCCCTTTTCATACCCTATCGCCGATCCTGATCTTTTTCTGACATTAGTAAATCCAGCCCTGTCCATACAGTAGCGAATAACGCTTCATTTCTCTCTCCCGTGGTACGGTACTTTACCTGCTTGAATATCGAACTTGATTCCCTGAATACCGTAACCGGGCCAAGGTTGTGGCGGAGCGCAACATGGGCACTCTCTTCCGGAGAGTGCCTGACAGCTCAACAACAGATTCCGCTCAACGACAGATTTCACCATCCACCTACCTACAAACCCCCCTATACTCCACTAAAAAAAAAAAAAAACCAGAAATTTCTGAAAGATATAGTGAAATAGAAGCCAGAGTTGAGGAAGCATGTTTGAAGGCATCAGAAAGTGTTAGGCAGTAGCCAAGAACGATCTTATCGAGTATAGGCTAGGGTTTGGAATATTAAAAGCCAGAGAATGTCTAGGAAGGCTTGTGAGGTATCATAGTAAAGTAATAAAGATTTAAAGATTTGTTCTTAAGAACTTATTATATTGTTAAGGTCTCTTCTTTATTACTTGATGATCCTCAACTACTCTGGAGACCTTAGACTATTTATACTATTTTAGTAGTACATAGTGTCCCTATACTAACTCACACTGGATGGTTGTCAACTTTAGTTTTAACTAAGTGCAAATACTATTTAACTTCAAAAATCCACACACCACTTTGACCTGGATGGAATCAGATATTATTCTAGAAGGAAGGGGCTTCCTATCTCCCAATAATATTTCCATAATCCTTATATCTTATGGACTAAGCCATGATAGATAGTCATAATTACTATCATTTAAATTATCTCTTCTGAAGATAAACTAGTTAAGTTTATTGTCAGGAATTGGCACATAGAGAATATATTATATTGGCATGAATCTCAATGTACTAATATCTTTCTCAGTTTCATCTATATACAGTCTTCCAATCTAAGTATGATTTCCCTCAAACCTCTTACTTCAAAGAGGAACTCTTAGCTAGAGCTGTCTGACATATACCGAGTCTTATATGAGTATTGGTAGCTTTCAAAGTCTTATGACTTTAACTTATGATAACTCAAGAACCAATCAACAGATTCCTTTCAGTTAAATCTTACTTGCAAATATGGATTTAATTGTATCTTATTGATAGAAACTCTCTCGAGGGCATATTTATATTGTTCGGTAACTCTTAATGGTTTGCAGTCAGGAAGTTGTAATTAGAAATTAATATTAACTTTAAATAATTTTGCTGCAGTGATAAACTAAACACATAACTTATAAATTATATGCCAGATCCATTAAACTGTATATGCTTAAGTGAAAGTGAGAAATCAAATATATACTAGTAATAGTGTGGGAATTTAGTCTTCCTAAGAGACATTTCTGTACATGAGTGAAAGACAATCAAAGAAGAGTACAGTGACTAGCAGGTAATAGAAAGCTCTCAGAAACCACTGAGCTTGCTGTTTGTTGATATTTAAAATGTCTAAATATAATGAGAATATCTACTTATTTTCTCATGATTACTAGATATGCAAATGATGTTTTTGGAAGAAATCCCTATCGTATCATAAACACCAACCTCCTACCAATGATTAGTGAAGCCTGGAGTCAGCACTTTGAGAAAGATATCTGAAGTTTTATATTTATAACAGGAGACTATAGAAAAAGATTGCAAAATTGTATGGGATTCAAGTGTTATTGAAAATCAGTTAGAGTAATACAAATAAGTATGTGCAGAAAATGGAATCCAAGAAGGTAATTAATATAATTTTAATAAAACTGGATTTTAAATTGGTGTTGGAAGAAATCAGTGGATTATAGTACTTGATCCTGATGATCAATTTTATCTCGAGAGTACTACAAATTGCAAACTTGTAACCTCATATAAGACAATTAGGAGAAATAGCTGGATCTTAGCAATGAAAATTATAATCTACTTCGATGTATTTTGAGAATATCAAAGAAATTCCTGGACACTGTTAAGATAGGAGGGGAAATTTCAATGAAATTGTTTCTTAATAGTGGCAGAGTTGAGGGAAATATAATATGACAGTTTTTTTATCTTCATATATATCTCCAGTTTAATTTGTGTTTAAGGTATATGGATCACATCAGCTAGCGCTGCATTGACCTAAACCTCCACCCCTATGTGAGCACTAGCAGCCAGAAGTAATATCTTCAAACTGAATCAAGTAGGTAGAACAACCTCTCCTGAGCAGCAGCCTGTAGTGCACACTACCAGAAAACTACACCCAAGTAACTAAAACTAAGGAAATCCCTCATCTTGACAGATGATCCTCCTTAATATGAATGAAAGAAAAATGCTCAATTAAAAGAAACCTTAAAGCCTAAGGACCTCAATCGAGAACTATATAGACTAGGTGACTGGATTCACGTAGTCCCAGAAAACAATTAAAAGTCAATCCCTAGTACTAGTTAGATAAATGTTTCTGAGGACATATAGTCTGGCAATAGGAATGAGGTGGAGCCAAGAGGTAAGATGAAAACTCCTCCTAAGATAAAGTGGGGAGCACATAGCAGTGTAATGGAACTTAGGCCATCCTCTAAGGGGGGCTGGGATGAAGGGCACAAGGTCCCATGGAAAGAAAAAAAGGGGAGTAGGATGTTAGTTACCAGTAAGATGTCAGCCAAGAGGAGAAAATGATGTTCAGGGGTTGATTAGGTACCAGCTGAAGTTGAGAAGTGGGATGGTAGAAGGATACCAGGTGATCAAGCTGAGGTGAAAAGAGAGGAGGAGTAGAACTAAATACCAAAACAACTATTGGAAATATGTTTGTGCCTTAACTAGGTAGCCCCCTTTAGTCCCCAATACTATCAGGTGTATTCCCACATCTCTCTTGTAGTTCCTTGTTCTGGGAGAGATAGCGTTACTTAGTAGATAAGATACCATTATCAATAGTGGATAGAGATCAGGGGGGTGGGGAAATTAACTGTAGCCTGTTGAGGAGACTAAAACAACCTCCACCAGGGATTATTTTACACCCAACTGAAGTCAGTATAGTTTTACACTCAGGAAGAGTGATGCCAAA